ACGTGCAATCAGTGAAATCGGTGGTCAGTACACGTGCAATCAGTGAAATCGGTGGTCAGTACACGTGCAATCAGTGAAATCGGTGGTCAGTACACATGTAATCAGTGAAATCGGTGGTCAGTACATGTTCAATCAGTGAAATCGGTGGTCCAGTACACGTGCACTATCACAACACCGTGGTGCTCATTGGAACAGATATGGCATCTATGACGGTCACGCCCAAGAACAGCCTAACTAAGTGGAAAAAAAGAGAGAAGAGAAAAATATCATCCTGGTTTTAGTTTTTAAATTTATTCGTGTGTTTTTTTCTGTGCTCCTCCTTGTCTGTGTGTGTACCACATGCATGCAGCGCAGCACTGACAGAGGCCAAGAGAGCCTCGGGTCCTGGAACTCAGTGTTAGGAACCAAACCCAGGCCCTCTGCAAGAACAGCCAGCGCTCTTGGCCACCGAGCCACTTACCCAGCTCCCTAAGCAACCTTACGATTATGCGCATGGATCATTTCTAGGGTGCACGTGGCCCTCAGGCCACAGGTTAGATACCCTGGCTTGAAACCTGGAAAGTACATCAGCCACCCCCATCTTGACACCTTTTGGCTTAAAGAGAGAAGAAGGGTTGGATGAGGTTAGTGCAAGCGATTGTTTACCACCTCCCAGGTACACACGAAGTGACTGGGATGTCTACACAATGTGACCCAAACGTAAGGGTGGCAAGGGGACAGACACAACATGAATGCAGAAACGCCCACTTTGTCACCAACAGACCCAAGAGAAAAGTGAGGGCTTTAAACAAAGTGGCTTTCAAGTCCCTGGAAAGTAACTCCGGCAACCTTCACTATCACGACACACACAGCCTGCAGACACACAGCCTGCAGAGATGACTTAGTGGTTAAAACACTTGCCACATACATATGACGACCAGAGTTCAGACCCCAAGACCCCGGTGTGTGTGGTGGTTTCAATAGGAAGGGCCCCCATGGACTCATGTGTCTGAATGGTTGACCTATAGGGAGTCACACTATTAGGAGGTGTGGCCTTGTTGGAGGAAGTATGTCACTGTGGGGGTGGGCTTTGAGGTCTCATACGCTCAAGCTACGCCCAGTATGGGAGACAGTTCACTTCCTATTGCCTGAGGACCAAGATATAAAACTCAAGATGCTACCTCTCCAGCACCATGTCTGCCTACACGGTGTCATGCTTCTCGATAATGGACTGAACCTCTGAACTATAAGCCAGCCCTAATTAAATGTTTTACTTTTTAAGAGTTGCATGGTCATGGTGTCTCTTCACAGCAATAGCATGTTATAATTCCAACTTCAGAAGGCAGAGACAGAGGTATCTAGATTGAGCTGGCTAACAAAACCAGCTTTTCAGTGAACTCTAGGTTTGACTGAGAGACTCTGTGCCTCAGTGAATAAGGCGGAAGAGCAAGAGAGGGTGATTCCCAACATCAACCTCAGGCTTCTTCATGCATGCATATACACATACATACATACACACACACACACACACACACACACACACACACACACAC